GTGTGGATAGGAACTTTCAAAAGTCATTAGCTCAGACTAATCTTGGCTCAAAACTCTTTCTTCTTGAGACGGACACTATCCAAGACTCCTCAAAACTCTCCTCTTGAGTTTGATTTTCCAGCAATTTTTATCTTCAAGTAACTTTGTCGATCCGCTGTGGACTTTCCTATCTTCAGAGAAACCAGAGCAAAACCTCCAGCTCACTTCTAAAAGAACTCAACAAGGACCTCCGTTGTCTACCGCATCAGGACTCTTGTTCAGCAATCGAAGCCAATGCAAGTAACCGTTTACAACTATTTAGATCCGTGTTTAAGTTTGAGCCCCTTTTAAGGTGATTTTTGATTCTTTGATGATTCTCATTAGGTTGTGGTTAATTGATGTGAAATACTGCCATTCTGTTGCTCTTCTCTCTTTCTTCCTTACTTTTCTTCATTCTGTATATATGTGTTTTGCTTAGTCTTGTTGTATGTTAACACTCATTCTCACTCCTTTCTAACTGCAGAGTATTGTTTAGCGCTTGTCGTTTTGATAGCTACACTACGGAGCCTGTTTAGTTTACCCTGCCTTAGCTTAGTCTGCCTCGTCTGTTTTCTTGGTTTCTGATCTTTGCCTGTTTTCCTGGATTTATCCCTCTAGTTTCACCCTTGTGATTCTGTTCGCCGATCGTTGACCTACGCTAGCCCTAGGACTATTCTTGTGTCTTGCCCGCCATATACCTGTTTGCCACTGTTCGCCCCTGCCTGTGTTTCTGACCTCCTCTGCTTTTAATAAAGCTTGCACATGGATCCACACGTCTCACGTCTTGTCAGCCCCATAACAACTGCATAAGAGTAGGAAAAGCTATTGTTGCTTGGCCAGGAAAATAATTTTTCCTTGAATTGATAAATTATTATATTGTCTGCTTGGTGGACGGACAGATAAAATAATTATAATATTGATTCTGCTACAGTTAATTCTAAGATCTAATCTAAATATTTACTATTAATTATAACCAGCTATAATTAATTATAAATATTTCCCTTTTGATCTAATTTGCTACATAAGGCAGGCAATGAAACGACTAGATCGTCTACAGGAAAGCCTTATGTTGAAGTGATGGGATCTTTTCTCCTGAGATGTCTGACCTATTTGCATTGGCTCAAAGAAAGCGGTGACTAAGTGTGACAGGAAAGTGTGGAGCGTTTTAACAGGGTGACTGAATTGAATGAGATTGTCAAACGACATAATTAATGTAATGGTTAAAATTTAAGCCCTCATCTGGGCAAGCTAAATGTGACTGCAGTTCAGGGTTGAGTCCATGGATGAAGAAGATCTTTCACTTGATATGCAGTAGAGATAAACACAAGACGATCAGGCAGAGGTCAGTATACTGGGCAAACAATCCAGGGCAATAATCCAAAAATGAGGGGAATACTCATCCCTGTTGAAAAAACAGCATATGCTGGTTAGGTGTGTTTTGAAGCATGACTGTTGGTTTGAGGTGGTTTAAGATGGTTCTTAGCTGGTCATGAGCAGGAGCTAGTTTCTTAGGACCAGCTTAAACCAGCAGTCATGCTTCAAAACATACCTAACCAGCATATGCTGTTTTTAACAGGGATCTGCAGGAACAGGGCTGGAAACCCCTGGTTTAAAGGTTAAAAGAAAGGTTAATCCACAATAATCCACATCAATCTATGTCAGGGCTGAGCAGTTCTGGCCCTCGACATCCACTTCCTGCAGTTTTTAGCTCCATCAAACATACCTGCCACTTCCTTTCTACTAATATTGAAGACATTCTTTAGTTTGTTCAGATGTGTTTGATTAGGTTTAGTTTTTTGTTTAGTTTTTTTGTTTTTTCGTGGAGGGCTACCATCCTGAAGACATTAACTCCAACCCTACTCAAACATACCTATATATTCTATCTATATATACTATATATAGTTATATATTATATATTATATTATATTTTCACAAAATAAAAGAGAGAAATTGCAATGTCTTGATGTGCAGTTCTCAGCAATTAGTTATAAAACTAATTACATGTCTAAAACTTGACTTATTATAACATGACTATAAAGTACTGTTGGTAAAGAGAATATCAAATCCCACCATCTGATATCAAACCAGACATGATCACTTCTTTGTATCTTTTACATTTGTTCTGCAAAGTTTCTACATTTAACTGCAATCAAAAAGTCTAACTCCTAACTCCTAAATTCTTATTCCTCTGAAAAGATACCTCCAAGAATAACAATAAATAGATTGATACTGTAACACTAATACCAACCCAAGAATGCTAAGAATGAACAAGAAAAATACATGAAGGTAAAGACATGAGGAGAAAGAGAACAATAATGAAAGAACATCATTGACTGGGCTGTGCATTATACTCTCATCTTGTGACTCTCCATCACTGCAGCTCTGGGTCATATTAACAGATCTGACCCAACAAGCACGATTCTCAGACAGCCATGCTCCAAGACTATCTAGCCTTCTTTCTTGTCTTCATTTGTCGATAATGAATGGACATTTATTCTCACAGGATCCACATATGATCACAAGACCAGGAGCTGCAGAAGCAGGATTCACATTTACAAATCCATCATTTTGAAATAATATTTTTGTACAGTTGTGAATTCAGTGTAAAACTTGGCAGTGATGTTGACTGAAGATAATTTCAATGCAAAAGAATCTAAGGAAAACAAAAGAAAAATAAAAGACTTTAAATGACCCCTCAACTAATACTTAGTTGATAAAACCTTTTGCTTTTAATGAAGCAGATTTTCATTTCATTCATTATTTTTTGTCACCTCTTGTTTTGTCAGTTTTATTACTCTTCATTTTAAAAGAGCTTCAGATTGTTCAAATTGTCAGGGGATCTTTTGAGTATAGCCCTCTTCAAGTCAATCCAAAAGTTTATTTGATTGGATTTGGGTCTGGGCTCTGACTAGGCCTTTCCAAAATGTTCTTCTTATGAAGTCATTCCTTTTTTTTATTTTGATTTGTGTTATTATCGTGCTGAAAGATGAAATCCCTCTTCATCTTAAATTTTTTTTTAAAAAAGGCCTGCAAGTCTTGTGCCAAAAAAGGTTTGGTAATTGGGACTATCCATTATTTCTTCTTTTGTTGCTAATGACAAGTATTCATTATTGTAGTTTTCCATCAGTTTTTGACAGATGACCTGTTTATTTTTCCTTTATCTTTTTGGATGTCATTGTGTTGTCACATTGTCTCCCCTTGTTGATGATGGCCTGCATGGTATTCAGTGGTACCTGTAATGTTTTGGGAGTTTTTGTTCAGGGTTACGGAAACTCTTACTTTTCTTAATTTCTTACTCTTACAGTAAGTGTTTGAATGTGATTAGTAAATTTTTCCGTCTCCCAAAATAAAAGGGTGTGCACACATTCTACTAGGTAATTTTAGATTTCCTGTATTCAATAAAGGATTATGCATGTACGAGTTTTTGTATAACCTGTTGTAAAACACACAAGTACAAATAATGATAATTAATTGTGTAAACTTGTGAAGCTGGTAAAATAGCTAAAAGAAAATCATGTCACATAGTAGCATAAATGAAATCAATAATATTATAAAAGGATAATCATTTCAATAATCCTCATTAATTCTTTTTGTCTGCAGTTTCAACAAAAGTTTTTTTTTTTTTTTTTTTAAACATTCTAGGTTCTACATTAATCATTATGCAATCAGAAAATCCCAGCAAGATCCCAAGGAAGCGAGGCTGCATAACAGTGATGCATTGTAAGAATTTTCCTAAACATTCCTAAACTACAAACCTCTATATGATTACTTGAGGGTGTGGGAGGAACCTAATATGCACAAATCTATGATGTCATGCATTGGGGTTAGGTTTTGGGTGCTGATGTTGAAGAATGTGCAAGACACTTGGGTCTCTAGAGTAAAGCTGGATCAGTGACTGGTGTTGTAGCAATCAATGCATACCCTGATGATGTGGAGGGCTCTCATCTTTCTAATTCTTACATTCTCATCAGGAGCACTTTCACGTGAGTATTTCTGTTATTATAATTATATTATAATGTATTATATTATTGTATTATAATTTCTGTTATTATATACTTTATATATTGGAAACCATTAATAAGAATCACTGATTGTACAGAATTTGAAAGTATAAAGCAGATACATTGAATACCTCATAGTAAATAAAATTACTCAAGATTTGTAAAACTTTTTTTCATATGTAATTCTTCTTTTAGAATCTTTGGGTTAAATCCACAGCTGATAAATAGTTGCATTATTTTAAATACCTGCACTTTAAACAATTCCGTTTCTTACAATTTTATCTAAATTAATTGCATGATAAATGCTTTAAAGTGGCTGTTGCAAGGCTAACTTTTAAAGTGATAATTGGCCATTCTTTCATTTTATTAAGTATTGTGTTGCTGCATGATGCCAAATGTTAAAGAATTGTGCTGGCAACACCAGGTTATGGCTTTGATATTCTGGAAATGCATTGCTTTGGATAAAAACATATGCCAAATAAATAAAATGTAAATGTAAGTAATGAGTCTTAAAACATATAATAAATTACATATTGCTTACACAACCAGATACACAAACATTCAGATGCACACATACATACAAATGAAAAGTTGACAGGTGTCAGAGCTCTGTGGGATCTTACCTCATTACATCAGTGGGGTTTAGAGTGGTAACCTCAGCTGAAAGTCACATGAAAAGGATTGAATGAGATTGTAGAGGTCGTGTGACTCTATTTGCCAATCCTCACATTCTCTTGATTTTTTTTCTTTGATTTTTTTTCGACCTTGTCTCTTGACTCGCTTATGAACTTAAGCCAACCTTTACCAACTGAACTTCTTATTTACTTTACTCCTTTTTAAATTATACTATGTGTTATGTTGTACTATATTTAATTAAGAGTCTGAAATATCTATTATACCATTATTCTAATCTGCTATCTCATGTAGGCTAGTCATGTATTGATCTAATATGCATAATTTTATTGTTTGTAGCGTTGCTTATAAAGTTGAAGTAAGGGAATTAAATTGATAAATGTGCACTTCGCACTTCTAATGATTTCTAATAACTGGGTCTGTTGGGAGATTGAAAAATCCTAAAAAAAGAGTTTCCCCATAGATGAGTTTTAAAAAAGACCTGTGTGATTTGAATAAAGAAATTAACTTTATTAATGACTCATTTGAAAATTAATTTTAATGCACTTTCACAGATGAAAACTTTATTATTTATTTTCATCATTCTAGAATCAAAAACACGCATTGCACATTATCGTTCATGGAATTCACAGATGTATCCAGTTTGGAGAGACGGAGATCCCAGATACAGAGACTGTTGGAAAGGTATTTGAGCACATCAAGCATACACAAGTAATTGACACATTCTAAAAATGTTAAAGCGCAAAACATTGAGCTCAAAGTACAACCTCAATTCCAGAGAAATTGGGGCGTTTCGTAAAAATGCAATAAAATCAAGAATCTGTGATTTGTTCATTCTCTTTAACTTTTATTTAATTGGCAAAAGTATGAATAAACAATTTCCAAAGTTTTCACTGACCAACGTAAATTTATTTTGATGGCTGCAACACATTCCAAAAAAGTTGGGACAGAGGCAAAATAAAACTGAAAAGGTTATAGAATATCCACTTTAAACTGTTTTGAAACAGTTCACAGTAAGCAGGTGAATTGGTAATGGGTCATGGTATCATGTTTGGGTATAAAAGGAGCATCTCGGTCTTTGCAAGCAAAGCTGGATCATGGCTCATCACTTTGTGCCAAATTTCATGAGAGAAGTGTCAAACAAATCAAAAATCACATTTCACAATGCAAAATCGCAAAGAATTTAGGTCTTTCACCAACTACCACACGTAATAATGTGAAAAGATTCAAGGAATCCAGAGAATTCACAGTACATGTAGGGCAAGGCAAGAAACCTCAGTTGAATGTGCTTGACCTTTGAGCCCTCAGATGGCATTGCATAAGAAACCTTCCTGCTGTGGTGTTAAATATAGCCACATGGGCTCAGGAGTTCTTCAGAAAACTGCTGTCACTTAACACAGTCTGCTGCTGCATCAAAAAATGCAACTTGAAACTCTGTTACTCTAGGAGAAAGCTATACATCAATTCTATGCAGTGATGTCGCCAGGTTCTCAGGGACAGAGCTCATCTCAGATGATCAAAATGACAGTGGAAAGGTGTGCTTTACTCAGATGAGTCCACATTTCAACTTGTTTCTGGGAACAATTTCGAGTTCTCAGTCCTAAAGTCCAAAGGGAGCATCCAGACTTTCATCAGTGACAGATGCAAAAGCAAACATCTGTCATGGTATATGAGTGACTTGCATATGTGTGAAGGTTCCATTGACATGGAGGCATATATTGGAGTTGTACAGAGAAAAATTCTGCCGTCAAGTTGATGTCTTTCATGGGAAGTCCATGGTTATTATATCAAGACAATGCCAGCTCTCATTCTGCATGTGCTACAACAGCGTGGTTTCGTAGACTCAAGAGTGAATGTGCTAGACTGGCCTGCCTGCAGTCCAGATCTGACTCCTATTGAAAACATTTTGACCATGACCAGTCATGAAAAGGAGAATCAGACAACGACAATCACAGACTGCTGAGCACCTGAAGCCTTGTTTCAAGAGAGACTGGACAAAAAATTTTGCTTGCTAAACTTTAACAATTAGTATCCTTAATTCCCAAACAATGAAACATTGTAATTAAAAGGAAAGTTGATGTGACACAGTGTTAAACGTGCCTCTGTCCCAACTTTTTTAGAGTGTGTTGCAGCCATCAAAATCAAAATTTGTTCATATTTACAAAATACATTTATGTTGGTCAGTGAAAACTTTGGAAATATTTTCTTTGTACTTTTGTCAATTAAATAAAAGTTAAAGAGAATGAACAAATCACAGGTTCTTGATTATATTGTATTTTTACTAAATGTCCTAACTTCCCTGGAATTGTTTTCAAACTCCTATGGAAAATAATGTACAAGAATTCCTTCTTACAAATAGAAACTTTTTGGTTTGCATATGAATAAATTAGGATATGCTACGTCAAAATTATTTATTGAGCTTACTGTAATTTTTTTGGAAGAAGATATGCTACACCTGCTACCTTTCTTTTAAACTATGTCTGGAAATGCTTTTTTGCCATAGGTGGAGAGGTGACATTTGAAGTCAGAAGTGATTCTCCTACACTGACAGGAGCCAAAGCTACTTTCAACATTGATGTTGGCTTCCCTCAGAACCAGACAGTACTTCCTGATGGACAGGTGGTGTGGGCAAGAAACTGTACTATTAATGGTTAGTTATACAAACTTCCATAATACAATACATTTACATTATACATATAAAACATACCTTACAACTGGTTCCTTCAGGCCACAGGTGGTTTTGATGGCAGCAATCTCAACTGGTTGTCAGCTCAGTCCAACTCCAGCAGCCACTGTTGTACCTCCTGTTCCTGTCACAGGTGGAATTTCATACTATATTTAAATCTCATATTTCATGGCATTTGAAAGACAATTCTCAGTCCAGAAAGTGTTTTGAAGAGATATCCAAAAGGTTTATAAGTTGGTGCCTTTTCCTTTTGCCAGATGAAACTACAGCAGTGGAAAACATTGTGCTGACTGTTTCTCCTCAGTTGGTTGATGTTGCGCCCACGGCAGAGGAAGGAGTTGCAGATGATGTCACTGTCGTTGCCAATGACTTGGCAGTGTCAGCAATTGACACAGAAGCAAAATTAGATAATACTGGCCAAGAGGTCCCCACTGTTGCTGGAGACACAGCTGTGGCTGAAGCTGACAATACTGCTGCAGTTATGTTAGCCACACCTACGGCTGTTGAGGCTGAACCTGCGACAGAAGTTCCTGTGGCTGACATGGACCCAGAAAGAGACGAGATTATAATCAATCTGGCAGCCACAGTACTCCCAGAACCCCCTGAATTCTCTGTTTGGACAGTTATAGAAACAGTAGCACCAACTGGTGATGCAGTAATCATTATTACCTCTGAGGCAGTGGTCACAGATATTGTAGCATCTGTTTTACCTGCAATAGAAGACATAGAAGCAGTTAATGAGACTGTTGCTGGGGTCAACGAGGCAACCGAAACCATCAATGGTAAAAAAAAAAAACTTTAATTAGACAGTCATTACTTTATAAAATCCATAACAATTAATTCTGTCATATATTTAATGTATTTCCATTGGTGATTTAATTGCAGGCTTAACTAGCATATCTGAGGCAACAGTGAGTGAATTAGAAGCTGAACTGGTGGCAGGAACTGAAGCAACCCAGGCCGCTCTAGTCATTGCAAAGCGGCAAGCACCAGAAATGCCAGCAGAAACAAACTGTATGATTTATCGTTATGGCTCCTTTTCTACAACTCTTACAGTAGTCCGTGAGTATTTTTATTTATTTATTTACTATTAATTTAATATTTAAAAAATAATAGTAGACCTGAATATTAATCATCGGGGCAAAAAAGAAAGAAGAGATTTATACAAAAGTACACATTAAAAATGTTCAAAATTACATTATACACAAAATACATTAAAAAAAAATCAGCAGTCCATAGAACCATATGGTAAAAGTTGTGAAATTTGGCACACAGATAGAAAACAGTCTGAACATTAACCACACCAAATTTGAAGTCTCTTACTCAAACCCGCTAGCGCCACCACTTGTCCAAATTTGCATTCACGTTTGTGCTAACAACTTTTGAGCTGTAAGGTCTAGAAACAAAATACTTTTTTCCTCTGATTCCTTGATGATTCAAGATCATTCAAATGCAAGTTAAAAAAAATTCGGGTCCCACTATTAACTACTATGTACTTACATTTCAATTAATTTGATACAATGCACTTATTGTGTACATACATGTTTTCACATTGTACTTAGATTTTTAAAATATCTGCATGCAATTACATCTATAATTAATTTCTGTAATTACATTTATAATTACACTTTTGACCCACCGCTTACACCTAACCCACCTTTAAACCAACCCATACCACCAAACCTGTCCCTAACTTTACCCGTATCCCACCTCAATATCAGCAAAAGTGCTTTGCAATACATTATGAACACAATAAGTAGCCTACACTGTACACATTTTTTTTGATGCAAGTACATAGTAGTTAAGGCCACTTAATATAAAGTGGGACCAAAATTCAAAATGAAGTTAAATAAGTCATGATAAGTACTTAATGATTGAATTAATGAATTTTAAAACCACTTTAAAATGTCTTTAATTACTCATTGTTGCATTTGGTCTGATCCTCCCTGCCATGCTTGCTCTTCATTCTGCCTCTGTTGTGCTTGGGCCCTTAACTTCTGCTATATTTTATCCTTATATTCCAACCACCACGAACATGGCTTTACCAGTCAAAATTGTGTTACATATCACCTAAAATAATGATGAAACAAATTGTGTAGCAGCATCAAATCCATAAAATGCTGCAATTTTAACACTGCTGTACTAACGCAGCAGCTATATACATTTTGTATGTCTTTCTTATCTAGCACAGCTGATTCAGATTATCATCTCATTAGGAGAGAGCTCCATCAACTGGACTGAGTGTGTCAGATAAGAGAGGCATTCAAAATGTGCAGATTGGTGGGTGTGCCATGGCTGGAATTGAGAAACACTATACTAACGCTAAACAGGCTTTCAAACAGCCACAAAAATATTAAATCACTTGAAAACATGTCTATATAAACATATCAAACTCTGGGGAAAAAATGATTAAAAATAGTAAATTATGTTTATCTGAAAGTGTAGCGATGCAAATGGGTTTTCTGTAAGGGGTAAGTTTAGGGTTAGGGTTAGGTTAGGGGATAGAAAATATTGTTTGGTCACTATAAAAGTAATAGAAGTCTACGGAAAGTCCCCACAATTCACAGAAACAAACGTGTGTGTGTGTGTAAAACTAGCCTGCAAATAGTGATTTTGTGTTTGTGAGTTCCCCGCATGTAGTTTAGTTAATTGTTCTGGGAATCAACATGGCTTTTGTTTTCCACAATTCGTAACATTCTAATTCAGTATTCAAACACAAAGGCTTGGTTTCATAGACAGGGCTTAGACTAAGTCAGGATTAGGCCATAGTTCAATTAGGACATTTAAGTAATTTTTATAAACGTGCCTTAGAAAAAAACATTACTGGTGTGCATCTTGAGACAAAACAAAGGCACTGATATTATTTAAGATGAGGCAGGGCAAGTTTATTTCATTTGAAACAGCTCAGATTTACATTTTAGTCTAGGACTAGGCTTAAGCCTGGTCTGTGAAACCGGGGGATAAAGTACTACATATTAAAGTGTGTATTCTAATATAATATTCTATGTATGTAGCGCCTGCCCATCAAGGTTAGAGTGCCACCCTCAGGTTGAATTACACAAAGACTAAACCTCTGCCAAAAGTATTCTGCATTTGTATTTTAAATGTAAAACTCAAGCTACTAGTAGTTAATCATAGTTTAGTAAAATAGTGTTAGATTCATCCCAGAATCTGCCTCACCTAAATTTATGGTCAGAATTTACTTTCACATTTATTTTCTTGTCTTAATGATACCTGTCAACAGATCTCTTCTACCTCTTTTTTTTTTTATATATAAACACTTAATAGTGTATTCATGAGCACAAAAACAGCCTGTCTACATACATGTTTAATATTCTCTACAAATATGTTTTCCTAACTCAGAGGGAATAGAGAGTGTTGAGATTGTGGAGGTAAATAATGTGGTCATTCTGGCCACAGAGCTGGAGCAGAATGCTGTAGATCTTACAGTCACATGCCAGGGAAGGTAAATATTCCTTCAATATGGATTTATTTTATAAACTGTATATAGGCTTTACTGTTTTCGGCTGTTACTGTTTTATAATAGTCTTAAATTGATAATAATGATGGTTGTTGTAGAACATAAAATGTGTTATGCAAAGTTATTCATCTTTTATATGTGCTTGCCAGCCTTCCAAATCAAGTCTGCACTGTGGTATCTGATGCAGACTGCACAAGCCCTGTTCAGGCCCTACAGTGTAATGCTGTGACTCCAACCTCTGAGTGTCAGATGGTGCTGCGACAATTTTTCAACAACTCTGGCACCTTCTGTATCAACGTCTCTCTAACCAATGATGTCAGCTTGGCAGTAACCAGTGCAAAGCTCAGTGTGGCTATAGGCAAGTGTCATATAAATTCAAAGCATATCTAAAATAATAAAATGTATTTTCCTGAGCATACCCTATGACCTCACTACTCCACAACTTATCCTGTTAAAATTGCAGACACAAATTCATCAAGGAACATGGCTGGAGCAACACTGGGAGTCCTGTTTTTTATTTGTGCTGTGGGGGCCATTGCATTTACATACAAGTAAGACACCAATACACATATGGGTTTTATCAAAATTAATATTAATAGTATGTTATTGTGTGCTGCCTAGTTAAATGTAAATGACGTTTATGTACATTAAAGTAACCCTCAAGGTATATTTTTCTATCCAGGCGATTTAAGGAGTACCATCCACTGAGACATTATAATGCAAGCAGCAGTTTCAGCTCTGGAAGAAGCTCAGTGCCTTTAATGCTGTGGAATTTTCTGAGCCGGAGATCCACTGCAGAGAGCCGCCCCCTCCTGCTTGGGCGAGTGGTGTGAAAAGCTGTCCACTTCTGCTTTAAGGCATATTGCATAGTCTGTACAATCTCTCAATAATTAAATAATAATTCAATATGTACAATGAGGGCCTCATTGTACTGTAATAACAAAATGTCATACGTAATATGCCTTACATTATCTAAATGATGTTTTATTGTATGTGGCAGTTGCTGAATAATTACAGAGTATATTGTGTGCCATCATAAAAAGTTGCAGATATTTCCTGTCAGTGGTTAGGTTTTCTTGGGTTGCAATAATCTGACTTTTTCTCCTTCGGTTATTTGTTTTGTCCCTAGGTGTCAATCTAGAGATATAGAGTTGTAACTTTAACTATGAAAAATATAGTGCAGTGCACAGGACAATGCAAAGTGGTGAAAAACCAAGTAGTTTACTTACATTATTTACAGAAGGTGGGAATAAAAAGTACAAAAGGGGTACAAAATGTAAAAGAAAAAACTAATCTACACTCTTTAACAAAAATCAAAGTACAGTGGGTGGCACTCACCCCTTACCTAACATTTATGTGGATCTGTTATGTGAAGCATCTTCAGTTATGTAAATCTAATCATTCTATAAGCAACCCAAGTAAACTGCTTGATAGGAATATTGTCTAATTTAAAATCATCAGATAATAGTCAGGTTATTACAGACCACAAAAACATTGTCAGCTGTTCTTCAAATAATCTATTTAACTAAAAACAAATGTTTCAAGAAAAGCCTTGCACATTTTCAACATTTATGAAACATTAAGAAGCTTTATGAAGTAAATTTATATTTACATTAAACTACGATGTAAATTTATATTAGTGTTTAACCATCAATAATTAAAAATATTATGTATTTTCCCCATTTACCTTTGCAGAACTACCTTTCCTATATTATATTATAATCTAATTTTATTTTATTTTATTTTATTTTTATTTTATTATTTAGAGCAGTGCTTCTCAAACCTGTCTAAACCCCCCACCACTGCACATTTTGGATGTCTTCCTCATCTAACACACCTCATTCAACTCATCATCTAAGTAGAGATTGCAAAACCCCAAATGGGTTTGTCTGATATGAGAAACATGCTAAATGTGCAGTGGTGGGGGATCTTCAGGACAAGCTTGAGAAGCACTGATTTAAATCCTCAACTTTTTTTTACAAACGATGTGTTAATTTGATATCTACTCAAAAGGTCTGATGTTTTATTTATAAATAATAATAGCCATACTGATGACTTATTACCCCTAAATAAAAACATCTCCTGACTCTTTTTGACTTTTTGTTTGGTTCTATTAAAACATTCCTGCTTGAAGTAATCACAGTAACAAGAACACATGAGAAGAAGCTAAAAACTCAAATAAGTTATATCTTTAGGTTTTTCCAGTGACTTGTGAACTTGTGACAAGACTCAGGTTTCATCACTGTCTTCTCTGCTCTGTGTTTATTTTTGTTTTTCCTCTTTAACGTAGCCTGTCTCTCAAGCTTGTTTGGAATACAGTCAATAACCATTCAAAGGACAATGCATTAGTACTTGATATGCAAAGTATAATATAAAATATATTAGGTCTTTTACCTCTCTGTTTCATTCATTCATTAATTAAAAAAAAAAGCGGCTGGTTTATTATGCTCACAAATTTATTATAATCTCTATGTACCTCTGACTAGAACCACCCTTTAAATATGCCACCTTCTCAGTTTGGAATTATTTTCAAACAAAACAATGGCTACATAATTTGGTGTCTTTCAATCATTTTAAAATTATTATGCAAGGTCTAGCGAATGAATTAATGATGTGTAAATATGTTTAATGTTTGTTTTATTATATATTGTTACTTGTGTATATATGTATATTTGTGCCAGGCCATCTCAGTGAGGTTTTTAAATTTAACGACAAAATGCTGACAATGTGTTAGCAATGTGCCATTAAAATTCATTACTATTACTAATTTCTGTTCAGTGTTTCGCAATCCGGTTCCTAGAGGCACATTAACAGTAGGGGAGAGAAGGGCACAAGTTTCACACTCAGTTTGTGAAAATCCTCATGGGTTCAGAGTGTAATTTCTTCACATAAATATCACACGTCTAGTGCAAATGTGTGATTTCTACCCAGGGACTGGAATGCCCATACCCCCCACCCCAGCGACCGCTTGCTTAGGCCCCCCCAAAATTTTAAACATGCCCCTGGTTCTGAAAATATGAAAAGCTGAGTATCAGTTAACTAATATATTATACATGAAATCTGAAATTTGTTACGGTGCGGTTATACTTTCTATTTTGGAATAAATGTAAAAAAAAAAATGCTTGATAAGATGTATACATTTTTGGGGAAATGTATTTCTAATACCTGTACAATCAGTACTGCTACACCACAAGGTAGCATTGACTGCATCTACACCAATGACTGCACCTCTGCAGACCCCTCTGTCAAGCTCCTGAACTTTGCAGATGACACTAAACTCATTGGCCTCATCCAGGACGGTGACGAGTCTGCATATAAATGACTGTCTGGTGCAGTCATAACAACCTGGAGCTGAACACACTCAAAACTTCAGGAGAAACACCCCAGCACTCCCTCCACTCACCGTCATGGACAGCGCTGTGGCTGCAGTAGAGTCATTCAGCCCAGCAGTGGTTGTATTTCCTTCGCCAGCTGAGGAAGTTCAACCTGCAACAGGAGCTTTTCACACAGTTTTACTCAGCTGTTGAGTCGGTTCTGTGCTCTTCTATAAGAGCATGGTTTGGGTCAGCCAGCAAATCAGACTTAAGAAGACTGCAACGGACTGTAAGGAAGCTGAGATGATAATTGGTGTGCACCAGCTAAACGGACAGGTAACATCATCACAGACCCCTCTCACCCAGGCCACAACCTGTTGGCACTTCTCCTCTCAAGCAGACGCTACAGATTTCTGTGCACTACATCTCGGCACAAAAACAGTGTTTTTCCCCAGGCCATGTCCAACTTTAATAACTAACACACCAATTTACGACCTGCTTTTTGTTATAAATTATAATTCAGTGCTCTTGTGGCGTTAGGCAATATGTAAATACATATTATTTATGCAGGTATACAGCACACAATGCACACATCTGTACATAAACTGTCAAATCTAATGTAAGTTACTTTATTGTTTTTTAATATATTATTATTATTATTTTACTTAATCTTTACTAATTTAAATGGGTAACACTTTAGTATAAGGACCAATTCTCACTATTAACTAGTTGCTTATTAGCATGCCTATTATTAACATAATGGCTGTTTATTAGTCCTTATAAAGCACATATTCTGCATGACCATAATCCTACCCAATACCTAAATTTAACAACTACCCTACTAACTTTTAATAAGCAGCAAATTAGGAGTTTATTGAGGCAAAAATCATAGTTAATGGTTTGTTAATTGTGAGAATTGGACCTTAAAATAAAGTGTGACCCAAATTCCGTGTGTATTTGTGAACTCTTGATGAATAACGCTTATTCTGGTTCTGATTTGAGTAAATAATTAATTAATTACATTGATAATATAAAAATACAAATGTGAATTTTTTTTAGTGTAAGTAATGTTTATTTATTTAACCTGGAACGTGTTAACATTAACAGTAAGTATAACTAGCATTAAGTTAACATTAAGTATAACTAAGGTTTACATATAAATATATTGTCTATCCAAAGGTATTAAGGGATATTTCACCCAAAAATTATTCTGTCATCTGTTTAGGCATACATTTTGTTCTCTTTTTTCAGATTACAGTTGTGGTGCTTCTCAATCTGAAGGCTACATCCTATAAGACAGCCTTCAATGGTGTTTGATGACATGGCAGCTGAGGTATAGCCTTTCAATTTTCCTTCAAAAATCTCCAGAAGGGAAACTTCAAGCATACGCCAATCCTGCAATGATGCAAGTGTCAAAGTGAAGGTAAACAAGTAATGGCGTTGCTCTCAGAGGAGCACTCTTTCTTCATCTTTACAGTACATGCATGCAAACCTGGAGTTTTTATTATCACAGCATAAAACCTCGACGCTGTCAGGCTGATCCAATTCTGTAAAACTGTATTATGCCATACCACGCTTTTGCCATGATAACATAAACTGTGGCTCAAAAAACCGCACATCCAACATATGGAAGTAATTTACCAATGATATATTGAGAAGATTTAGTTTGTTTAATTACTGTTTTGATTTAAACAGGTTTTGTGAATACATGGTTCCTAATATTACAACTCCTACCCAGGACCGAAAGTCTCTGGAATAATAACTGCCTTAAAGTTTAAAGTCAAACAAATGACTTGAGGGTTAATGGTCAGTCTCTCTTTGCCTGACTAAAACAAAATAAATGTGTGGACCTTTTACATTGGCAGAGCACAAAGCTTTCCATGGTCCACACAGTCATAACATGTGGACAGACTTTAACAAAATCCTCCTTGCATTGGCATGCATCTACATTTGCTGAAAGTCCCTGCCTTTTTCCCCAAAGTGACAGTAGCTGCATTTTATGAATCACCAAGGACCATGGTTTTAGCTAAAAATCTTCTTTACCAGTTCTACTAAAAATAAAAAGTCACCTATACATCTTGGATGTTCTGAGGATGAGTAAATTAACAGCAATCTTTCATTTTTCAGTGAAATATCCCTTTAAGGGATTTTTGCCCTATTTTGCCCTTTTTACTAGATACAAAATAAGTCCCTTGTGTCCCCATAATATGTCTGTTGGAGAGTTAACTCAAAATATAATTACAATGGCAGCGAGTACAGCATCACTTTCTGTTCATTTAACTTTTAACTTTTGAAATCTTATAATACAATTATCTCAAAAGTACTTTAATTGATATAAACCATTTATCCCTTGCAAACTCCACAAATGTTTGTCTGTCAGTTTTCTTATGGGCCCTAAATCTTTGTCTATATGTTTCAGACACTACCTCACAAGCATGCAGAACAGTTTCTTTGATCACCAGTCAGACCTAGTCTGGACTTTTCTCTATCGGTAATGCAAAACATATTTCTTGGTCTTACCTGAACAGCTTGCACTGCATTAGCAGAGCCCACATCTCTTTAGGCCATTGCAATTTAGTGGTGACACATTTAAAAGCCATAAAGTACCAATCTACCACTGCTTCTTGAAAGGGGAGCACCAAATTAATGTTTGCTCACATCAAATAAGGGAGAATTACTCACTTCAGGAACTGAAAGAAACCGGCTGAGGGCCTGAAGGCAGCCGAGTGAACAACGTAAAAGTAGGGGAACCCTCTGGTGAGCTTACAAAGTTGTGGTTCCTTTTCTAGTTCCAGCTCTAGTTCGTTCAGCCAGAGCTTGTCAGGCTCTCTCTCTTTATGTCTATTTCCAATTCTTGTGATTGATGATGTCAGTGGGGTAAATTGAGGCACAAAATCAGTTCGCAAAACAGAAGAGGGCTTCTCTTCAGCCTCTGCTGGCACAGCAGCTCCTTCCTGCGTATTTAGTAATCCCGACTCCTCAGGCAAAATTTGTTGCTGCACCAATTCTTTATGCAATATTCAACGTCTTTCTTAGATGCATAATGAGGATTTTAAAGAAATCAGCAATTTTGAACACATCATTCTTCTTACAGCAATCAAACTGTTCTGTGCTTGGAGCTAGTGTAAATGCAATCTGATCAAATTCCATTTTCCCACAAACTAATCTCTCCCACACCAAAATTAAAACAGTCAGACAAAGAATAAAGTAGACTGACTTAACCCACAATAAGGATTGGCGGATGATTTCTTTCTCAGCGTGTGTAGATGAAGCTCTAGCTTGTCATTTGTGCAACAAATAAATTGCCTACAGAGAATTTGATATCTTATGACAAGCCAACTAATTATTTTATAACAAACAAATCAATCTCAATTTCAATTATGGCAGAGCCACCTGAGAGAGCATAAGAGAGAGACACACACGCGCGCGCGCACACACAGAAGCTTTATGAAGTAAATTTATATTTACATTAAACTACGATGTAAATTTATATTAGTGTTTAACCATCAATAATTAAAAATATTATGTATTTTCCCCATTTACCTTTGCAGAACTACCTTTCCTATATTATATTATAATCTAATTTTATTTTATTTTATTTTATTTTTATTTTATTATTTAGAGCAGTGCTTCTCAAACCTGTCTAAACCCCCCACCACTGCACATTTTGGATGTCTTCCTCATCTAACACACCTCATTCAACTCATCATCTAAGTAGAGATTGCAAAACCCCAAATGGGTTTGTCTGATATGAGAAACATGCTAAATGTGCAGTGG